GGCTTATGAGGGATACACTAAATTGTCAGCTGTTTGGAATGATTTTTAGTATTTTATCAAAATGAAATATTCTTAATAATCCATAAATGCAGTTTGGTCGCAATCAAAGACTGACACTTATGGGGCCTCTGCCACGTGTGAGGACGGCAGTGACATCTGCGTGCAATCCACCCTGTGAGACTCTGTGTGGCAGTGCCATCCCTTCTCTGCTGGTGCAAACTGAGGTGTAGACAAGGCGTGGTCCCCTCAGAGTCGCCTCCCACTTCCTGCGCCAGCCCTGGGGTCCTTGGGTGACCTCCTCCCGCCCTGTCCACTTAGCCACAGGCTCTGCCCGGGACAAGCCCTCTGTCTGCAATGCTCCTCCCTCGCCCGCGACAGTCCACTCCCTCCTGCAGGCCTCCTCAGAGCTCTTAGGCAGGACGCCCTTGCTCACTCCTCAACTAGACAAGGCCTCCCTATTCCCAGCTCTTGCAACACCATCTGCAGTTTTCCACTCTCTCTGTGATCTGGAATAGTCTCTCTCCCCCACAGTCTCTGGGGCACAGAGAACAAGAAACTCTTCCGAGTTTGTTCCCCCTCAGTCCTTTCCTGGACCCTGTGACCACCACCTCGAAGGGTCATTTACCACGAAGCACCAATGCTGAGGGCTCTGCTGGGCATGTAACAACCAGCAGACCAATGTTTGTTGGACAAATAAATGAAAAAAGTAGGATTAAATGGCATTCCCAGCACTGAGACTCAAGTCTCTCTCACTACATTGTCCCCTACACGGTGGTGCAGAATATATATACAGGATAGGAACATTGGTATCTTCCTAGAAAGTTGAGACATTGCCCGAACTTAGTGATTGGCATATGATAGGTGCTCAACAAATATGTGAATGAATGAGTCATAGGTTTAGTAGAAATTAAGCCACACAAGGCACCTGCAAACAAAGTCACTAGGTTGCTGAGGACGCAGGCAATGAAATACAAGGATGTCTTTAAACAGGATGCAGGCCATGAATTCAGCATCCCCACCCCTGACTACCCAGTGGATTGCGTCACAGTGAAAGAGGCGACTGGCAGTTTGCAGCTCAGAATAAACTTCGGATGCCTCATGCAGACCTTGAGCAGAAGAAAAGACCAGAGAAATCTCCCTGGCAGTAAAAGGCACAATTCTAAAAACATAAGGCGGGAGCCAAATGTAAGCCAATCAAAGAATGTGCCATTTTGCAAACGATTTCTAACGCGAGGACTTTGAAAGGAAATTGGCAGACGTGATTAGGTCTTTGGGTTCATTGCAACATCCTGTCCACGGGAAAGTGTCCAGGACAATCTGTGTCTGTGACAAAGACGTGCCAGGACAAGGTCTGACGCCTGACAGGCCAGGCACAGTGCAAACACAGAGGAAGTCAATAAACTAACAGAAACTTGACAACAAACTCTGCACCTTCCCCAGTGGCTAAAGTCATCAATGCTCTGGGCAAACAACAGATTCTTGATAAACTGTGTTACATGGAATGAACACTCAGTATCTGACCAACAGGCGGTCTCCGGGCTTCAGCCTCCCCATCTGTAAGCCAGCAGGCTAAGGCCCCATAATAAAGGTCCTATTGTGACTGTCCTTTTCATGTTCCCGGTTACAAACCAGCTAGTGTTTTTCATCTTTCTGAAAGACATGCTCAACTAAAAATGTTCAATCATAACAACATTCCAATACTAAGAAATGGGTATTTTCCTCTATGTTGTATGATAAAGCCGGAAAGGGAGAACTCTGTGAACTAAGGCAGGGAGGCAGAGCGAGCTGCGGGAGCCCATCGCCCACACGGTGCATGCAGCTGTGGGTGCCACGATCTGTGGGCTTGAGAAGCAGTCACACTGAAAGGCAGGTGCGTTCTGAAAAGAGGCGAAAAGCTAACGATGTCCTCTGTAAGCAAACACACGGAAGCGAAACCACGGCGGACGGTATACTGTACTTTAGCAAAGAACTTGATCTCTTGCTCGTAAGGGAAACGCTGTCCTTTTCCTCTGCAGCCGCCATCTGCAGACAGGAGAGAGTGTTCAGGAACATGGGCACGTCCAGCATTCCAATCCCCACCCGCACAGAGTTCCCAGCACTGAGGAATGTGCTACCCCACCAACGGGACGTGAAAAGCCAACCAGAAACACACAGGCTAACTTTGGCAGTGTAATAAGAAACAAAAAGGAATTTAAACAAACAGCCAAATCAATTAAAAAGCGACTGAGCAGAGCCCAGCTACGTGTCTGTGAGCATAGGCACCCAGCGCAGCGCCAGGGGCTCAGTGGCCTGGAGAGAAGAATGGGAACAGAACAAGGACGACTGCCCATCTCAGCAGCAGGTCCCACAGCTGGGCGGAGAGAGTGCCTCTGAGCTGAGCGACTTCCATAAGCAAAGCAAAGACACCCAGGTCTCCCCAGGGCCCAGAAAATGATCTCGGGGTTCAGAATCAATTGACCGAAGGCATTTAGCTCAGAGGCGGCCTTTTCCTACCTCCTTCGAGCATGCAGAGGGGGCTTCGTGCACACAGAGGAGGGAATGATACACTAAGGGCCACCGTGACGTGCAGCACATGGTGCAGAGGGAGCAATTCAGAGTTGGATACGGGGTTTTAGTAAAATTCATAGGCAGAGCCTCCATATTTTTAAGAATCAAACTAACTTGCCTGAAAAAGTTCTTTTGCAAACAGAAGTCAAAACCATCAGAGAGATACACTATCAAATCTTAGACACATTCAGGGTAGTTTTTAGAAACTTTAAACAATATTTTGCAATATCACAACAATGTTCTTCCCGTGAATAAGTAAAAGAAAACAATGGCATTGTAAGACTTGCTAAGCTCATTTTTGCTGTCACTTTTGCATTAAATCTCTCCCACGCGTGTCACGCAAATGGCTGGGTCCATGTAAGGGACTGCTGGCTGCCGGTGGCAGGACCGAGGTACCTACCAAACTCCAAGATATACTGATGGGCTTCGTCCACGTAGCGGATGAGCTGCTGAAGGAAGCTGTAGGCAAATCGCTTCTCAATCGTAGGCGCGTCCAACTCCAGGTCTTTGAACCCTCTAGAAGAGCGAATGAAAATGGAAACCAATATCCACAAGACTATTAGGAGGTGAATAGATAGTTAAGAAAATGTTATGTTACATATACTAATTTAGACGATTATTTAATATTCTGTAGCTAACGGCAAAACTGAGATTTAGTTTATAAGGACTATTTTGAATACTTAGATGTAAAACTGTAGCTAATAACTTTATTACTGTGCAATAAACTTTATTCCTGTGCTGCCTTTAGAAAAGCAGGGCGTCACTTCTGCCTGGATAATGGATGGGGAGTAACAGGCTCTAAAAACTGTGGCCAACAGCGACGGGCACTGACGGTTTGATATGAGCGTGAGCGTGTGAGTGCAGGAAATAGTAGCGCTGAGGTTAAAACAGGTCGCAGACTTCATTCTTGGCCTTAATGAACCTGACAGGGATGTATAACTAGTCTTACACGGTGATTGACTGGGGCACGTGGGCTTGTACCTGGACACAGCGTAGCCATTGATCTGCAAGAACTTGAGGATGTCCTGTGCTTTCTCCCGGTCCTTGGCTTTCTCTTTGGCGGTCAGCGTATCGTAAGGCACCAGCAGGGGGTGGTTCCCGCCTCCTAAGAGAATGTCCAGACAAGAACACAGAGTAGCAGCGGGAAGTCATCTGGAATGAGACACGCTGCCTATGTCACGGGGCCACAGCACAGAGCTCCTGTGCCCTCTCCTCGCACGAGGATAAAGGGCTCACGCGGGCTCTTCCCCCCAGCGCCGGAGTGTTCCACGGAAGACGGCTGTGGGCCTCGGGAGGCAATGACACCATGAGCACCAGGCTCTCCTGACAGTAGTGTCCACAGCACCTGCAGCCACGGGAGGGAGAAGAGGCTGGGCTCCCACCCAGCTGAACATCCCAATAATTTGAAGGTGTAATGGCTCAGGTGCTAAAGCATCTATTTCACCCCAGCAGTGGGACTCTGCGTTTCAGTGAGGATTTTTAAAAAATATTACCTTTGGACTCCAGTTCCATTTTCTTCTTCTTTGCCCATATATTATGGTAGTTTTCAGCCATCATTTCTGCCATAGCCTTAAGTGAGCAAAATATTTAGCAACTGAGTTATGTTTGAATAAGTAGAAAAGGGTAACTTTGTTTTCCAATGTGTAATATGAAAACATGCTTTAAATTAATAAGTCAGAGTGTGGCCAGGACCGGTCAAGGGCATGTACCTGGGTTGCGGGTACATACCCAGTGGGAGTTGTGCAGGAGGCAGCTGATCGATGTTTCTCTGTCATCGATGTTTCTAACTATCTCTCTCTTTCTTCCTCTCTGTAAACAATCAATAAAATATATTAAAAAAAAAAAATAAGTCAGAGTGTGTTGGTGATAAAGTACTTCCAGGAATAACCAAACACAACTCTCTTCCTTGGAGCCTGACTCCCAGAGGACGGGAATGATGGGGAAATGACAGAAACGGTGGAGAAGATTTGAAGGGAATGGTCATTATTAGTTTTAATGTTTAAAGACACATGTTTGATTAATTCAATCATGGAACTTCAAATTAGCTATGAAATTCAACAATAAAACATTATTTACCACTTTTTCTTTTAATTTCCAAAGCTTCAGAAGATAACCTAAACTTATTAAACACCGATGGCAGAGAACATCAGACAAATAGTCTAGATTTTCATCTCAGGGCACACATAAGTTAATTACTAAAATGTGTGGCACACCAAAAAAATGTAGTTTTTGCCAATTTGACAAAAATAGGTATAAGTTTGATTCAGTCACACTGAGACATGGAAGCATAGAATAGACCAACTGAGGAATCTTAGAGGGAAGGGAGGGCGGGGGGACAGGAAGAGATTAACCAAAGAATGTATATGCATATGTACATAACCCATGGACACAGACAATAGTGCAGGGAAGCCCTGGGGAGGGTGTAGGAAAGGGGTCAATGGGAGTATAAGGGGGACATCTGTAATTCTTTCAACAATAAAGATAAAACACACACACACATAACAACAACAACAACCCACAAGATTTGAAGAATATTTTAAATAGTAGCCAATACTTACATGCAGGTCCCTGGACAGTGTGACATTGCTCATGTCAATGGCCCGGGGGCTGTACCCATGAGCAGCATCCACAGAAACCTAGACAGTTCATGTGAAAAGTAGTATCTCATTAAAATGCTCTGCGGAGAGAGACTTGCAAAGTTCTACAGAAATATAAGGCAAACGGACTTCCAAACACACTTCCTCAGACAAAACTGGCAAGTATCTACACAAACAGATCCCACAAACATATCTAGCAAATTAAATTATATTTGGGTGCCTGGCAATTACTTGTGACTGCATACTAATCCCCGACATCTTCAGGGTTGCCAACTCCAAAAGCTAATAATCAGCATTCAATTGTGCAATGATTCTAAGATTCCAGAATGTTCCCTTAATCAAAGGATCTTTGTGTTCTTGAGTTTCTTACAAATTCTACTTGGCTGCAATGAACTTTACTCTTTCTCACATAACAATAATTAATCAAAGAGGTCAATATTTACAAATGTCTTTATGAGCTAAATGTTAAGATAAAATATAACCAGCTTTTTACTTTTAAAAGTATAACATATACAGGGTGTCCCAAAAAATGTATACATACTTTGAATAATTATTAATTCCAATGGGTTAAACCTGAATAGCACGAAACATCAATTGAACTATCAGCTGTTAAAGTGTGTATACATTTTTGGGGGACACTTTGTAGTATTCAATGATTTACAAAGATGTCCTATAACCAGAAAGTTTCCTAAATTTTTAAAGTTTGGCATTTATAAAATGAAACATATCTTCTTATCAACAGTAAAAAGGTTTTGCTGTCCTGTTCTCTGAACACATTCCTCCAATGGCATATTAGGTGACAGTGTGTCATCCTATAAATCTAAAAGTATACCTTCACATATTTTACAGTATAGATGTATTATTATATAAACATATATTGGACATACTTATGATGTATGCATATTGTTATATTTCACATGTATACTCTCTTGTTAGACATGGATAAACATGAAACAAAATGAAAACTACAATAAAGCGCATATCTGGGCTTGTGAAACCAAACGAAGGCTGTTGCAGGCCATCACTAACAAGGGGCTCCTGGCTGCACTCAATTCTCTGCAGTCCTACTGCCTCGTACTCAGGTTGTGCTCAGTATGTGTTAAAACACATGAAAACAAAATGTAGTTTGAAACGTGTGCACACACCATGAAAAGGTAAAATATGCTTTTACAGTTTCCATTTATATGATACCTACTTAAGAAAACTTTAGGTAAAATATGCCCAAGTCAGAGCTTAATCTATTTAAAAATGTATTTCAAATATGTGTTTCATGTGCTTTTTTTCCAAAAACATCTCTATAAATGGCAATATAAACACAATATTCTGTGTACCCAGATACAGTGGCCTGAGCAGCCTGGACAGGGACCATCACAGACTTAGCTTCAGAAAAACCAAAGGACCAGAGCTGAGAGCTAGTGTTTGGTCCGACCTTGAACCCAGGTTCTCCAGGTCTAAGCTGTGCCTCCTGGAGCAGCAGTCGTCAATCAGTGGTCTGTGTGGTCCGAAAGGTTGGCGACCGCTGTGCTGGAGCACTTAGCCGCACATCTAGCAGCTCGCTGCGGGGACAGGGCATCCTGGATGTGTCCATTAGTGACGAGCTCTCGGAACTCTGGCCCTGACTATCTGGGTGCGCAGCGGACCTTTGCAAGTGGCAGGTGCTCAAGCTCCCCTGGATGGCACAGCCACTTGGGCTTGAGGTCAGGATCACTTCTGCCTGACCTCCTGCTTCTCCCTAAGGACCAGCCTTCAGCTCTTACTGGAGAGGAGAAAGTTCTAGACAACCCACTTGCAGGTAGTGAACACACTACCACTTTCATTGGTGCAACTTCAAGACCATACCCCTGGGGACCCCTTCACAGCCTGGCCAGGTAAGGGCGGCCTGGCTAATCCCTCTAGCACTTTAACCAAGACGTCACTGAAAATTTAAAAAAGGAACAAATGTGTTTTTCCCTCTAAACTTTATGTTAATCTTCAGAATTTTCAAATCATTTGTTTCGAAACAATAAGTAAATGAAAGATTAGAATTATCAACAGCATAAACCATGGCTTCCAGGCGGTGCTCTCACCTGGCTGGTCTGAGAGATGCGCCGGGTCCGGTGGTAGAGGGCCATGCTGTCCCCCTCCCGCGTGCGCTCAATTCTCCAGCCCCAAGCCAGCATCGTTTTCAAAGATTCTTTGATTGGCCAGCGATAGATTTCTTTTTCCTACAGACAAAAAGGAGGAGAAAATAAAAGGTGTGGGGGAATATTAAGAATCCAAATAAAAATAAAAATATTTAATGTTTTGTTCTGTAATAGACTGACTTCATTTTTTAAAAAAAATGATTGAACCCGTGGACACGACAATGGCATGCGTGGTGAGGGCCTGGGGGGTGGGGGGAAAGGATGAGTGGGCTGGAAGAGGTTCATGGGGGAAAAAGGAGGACCTATTAATACTTTCAACAACAAAGACTAAAAGAAAAAGAGTCAAGAAAGATGGGGCGGGGGGGGAAACACTACTGACATGTTCATTCAAAAATAAAAAGGAAAGTAAAAATGAGAGTGTGAGCAGCCCTGGTCTGATAGACGCTAACGGGACCCTGCTCATCACAGCCCAGGGGCCGGTCTCCCTCCGCGACCCAGCTCCTGACACTTTAGACAGAACTGAAAGGAGAAACACAGTCAGCAAAGCGCAGGTTAGATGACAGGTGCATGAAGGCTCTCCTCCCATTGGAATCAGGAGACCCAACTGTCCTCCCTAAGCCCCTTTGTCTCCATCACCTCCTCCACCAACTCACTACCTAGAAGAGCCAGAAACCCCTCCACCTCACTCTCAAGAAGCTGGTTACCCAAAGAAACTAAAGTACATGAGAGTTTACAAATAACAGCACTAAGAGATGACTTCATTCAACCTCAGCAAGACACTCTCAGGAATGATAAGAATATTTTCTAAAGTTCTTAAAAATGCGGGAGAGGAACAAAAATCAAAAAGGAACAGAAAAATATTAAGTAGAGAAGAAAATAGCAAATTAAATAATGACAGAAAATGGGAATAGAGGGGGGAAAAAAAAACAAAAGATAAAAGATATAAAAGCAGCCTTGGAATAAAAGTTAAAGATAGTATATATAAAGTAAAAAAGAGATTTTAATAGGAAATTACATAACAAAATTTTTTGAAAAAAAAATTAAAACTATATACCCTAAAAAACCCTCACCTTTTCAGATAATAGTTTATATGGCTTCATTAATGGTTGAACTTTAGATGAGTCTGAATAAGTTTCTCCATAAATCCATCCATTGGCCAACTAAAAAAACAAACATTAAAATCGTTTTGCATGTATCAATTTTAGAGAGTGTATGTGTGCAGGTGTTTAAGTGTGCGCACGATGAAATAAACCTGAAATGCACCAAGATAAGGATTAAGGTTTGAATTTTATTCAGCATAATTGAATATAAAAATTGCCATCCCAATCAACATTATGTTGAGGAATCTCTGGAACACTTCGACCAGGGCCAGGGAACCTGCAACCAAGGAATGTGCCCTTGGCCAGAATGGAACCCGGACCCTTCAGTTGGTGGGCCGGCGCTCTATCCACTGAGCCAAACCAGCCAGGGCTGAACACCAATACTCTTATTCATAAAGTGTATCGTATGTGTATTAGTGGCAGAGCTAGCTAATACTATATTAGCAAGTCATTGAAATGGTCTTTCCTAATCTAGATAAAGCTCTCCCTTTAAGGGAGAAAACTGTGTGGTCAGAACCGGGGGGCCCAGTGCCGCTCGGTGCCACTCGAGGAGGCCTCTGACCTTACCTTGTCCATGGACCACCTGTCGTGGGAGTGCTCAGCGTATCTGTTAATGAAGTATTCCAGCTTCTCAGGAATCGTAATACTGAGGGAGAAACAGGGAAAAGGCTTGGTGCTCACAGGATCGCAGGGACTCACATTAATAATTTACTTACAGCCCCGGAAGAAGTTTCACCGCGTTGAGTGACATTATGTCTGTGCTAAGAGGGTCACCCTGCCTTCTAACTGTAGACTAACTTTCCCACAAACGCCTTCACGTGATATTCCCATCAACCTCATGCTGCGCTTTATCCACTGAATGTCGGCGGTACCCTTGGCCAGAGGACAGAGCTGCGCTCATGCCAGGGGCATGTAGGCAGAGCCCTACACAGAAGTTGGCTGCTATTTCAATAAAGATTTTGGGTAAATTTTCAACCAACCATGTAACAGATAGACTTTCTTGATTCTCAGCACTACAGATGCCCCATGTGGTTATAAAGAGAGGCCCCCGATTCTGTTAGGAGGGGCCTAGAAGGCACAGCTCATCTACTTGGGGTACTCAGATAATTGTTATCACTGCCATCACTTAATCAGGAAAGGGGCCCCCTCGTAAAGATACTGGTTCAGGGGGGAGGACGAGAGAAAGTTCACTTCAGCACCTTATCAGTTCAGACTTCACACATCATTTTCAACAAAAAGCTGCCACAACAGAAAGAGTCCATACTTTGAGGTTTCGACAGGCTGGGGGTTGAAGTTCCCCTCCGAATCCATGGATGACTGCTTCTCCATCATGCCCACATGGTTTGACTCCATGTAGTCCGGGGGCAGTGCGCCCGCCACCGCACTCAGGCACGGCAGAGCCAGTTTGAAAAGCTCTTGTTCATATTTCTAAGGGGAGATGGAGAACCAAAAAAATGAAATAAATAGTGTGTCAAGATTCAGCCAAAGTTGTCCACACGATCACTGTGGAGGTCGAGGTGCTGAAGGAGAAAATGTGAATCCCCTGGGCTAACTCGGCTCACCAGCAGATTCTGCCCCAGAAAACAGGCCATTCAGCCCAAAATCCCTGCAAACACGAGAGACGCTGACAGCAACACGCTGCAGCTGCAGCCTCAGAAAACATCTTTGCTTCTCTAAATCTGTATTCCTCGATACCTGAAACGATGCAGCTTTGAATATGCTGAGTGTATAACAAAGTGGGCAACATGTCTTTACAACCTAAACCCCGTTTCAGGCAACAAGAACTGTATTTCTCAGTTATTGTCAGTTATTGGGCCGCACATTATAGAGACCACATGTGAGGACATCTGCGGAGGGCATTTCAGTGCAAAGACATCGGGATTCTGGTCAAACTGGAGGGAAACACACTGAACTTTCTGGTATATAAATTACATGATTCATTAAATTTGTATTTACAGATTTTTTTTTAAATATTTTATTGAGTTTTTACAGAGAGGAAAGGAGAGAGATAGAGAGTTAGAAACATCGATGAGAGAGAAACATCGACCAGCTGCCTCCTGCACACTCCCCACTGGGGATGTGCCCGCAACCAAGGTACATGCCCTTGACCGGAATCGAACCTGGGACCTCTCAGTCCGCAGGCCGATGCTCTATCCACTGAGCCAAACCGGTTTCGGCTGTATTTACAGATTTTTAAAAAAATCAAAAATAATCATTTAAATCAGATTTCACTTTAACCATTCAACTTTAATGTTAATTCTTCTAAAAATGTCTTGTACATATTATTTTCAAAGGACTCTGTTTACCAAAGATAATTCAGCAAGAAAAATTATCAAGAAGTCACTACTAAAGGAAGTCACACGAACTTTGCCCTACTGGGAGGCAAACTTTGGCTATTAGGGAAGTCTCATAAAGTCTCATGAAGTCCCATCAAGTCTATCGGGGAAGACAAAATGATTGTGATCAATAATGTAAGTACAACTGTACCCAGCATGATGTCTACTTTCCTCTGTGATCATCCACTCTTCTCAAAGTATATGAATTATTCATTATAAATATGGGACGATGAGGGGCCGTCTGAGTGGAGGGGCTTACATGCCCATAGCAGCAAGTGGACAGTCAGTAAACCACTGGAATATTACTACTCCAGGAGATTTAATATAGTATATTTTCATACTTGATATGATTTCTTCAGGTCTTATAAGATTGAGGAGGTAACTAAGGAAATTTTGAGCCCAAATAAGACCAAATACAACAGAAACGTTATCAACCATTTGCATAATTTCCTAAATTGCTTAGCCATTTTAAATTCAGAAAGTGTTATGATCGCAAAGACATGGTACCACAGCAATTATGGAAAGTCTTAATGAATTTCATTTTTAACATTTGCTATAAATTCAGGAAAAAAAAGAAAAAACTGTAAGTCTTGATAATTCTTATCAAGAACTTATGGCTTTAATTATTTTATCACACAAATAAGCTCACAAAATATTAAAGTACCTTTTGAGACAGGGCATCAAAAATGCCCCAGAACAATTTTCTTGATAAATGAAGTTCTTCCTCTGAGGCAGCTCCGAAGTTCCCCCACCCGCCCGGCAGACAGTAGTACTTCCAGCACCTTTCATAGTGGTTGGTCAGCAGCTACGGGAAATAGTGATAAAGGCCATGAGCTAAAGACTCCTTTGATACTTTTCCATTTCTTCCCACATGGCGCTCTGATACCATGTAATGAGGTAAACAGAACCAAAACAGCTCGATCCACCTCAATTCTTCTGGGTGACCTTGTCCCATGTCTTTTTCAAATGTAACAGTGGTCACAGCATAAAGATCTATGGACCAATTTTACAAATCGCTCACCTTGCATATTCTTTATGAGGCCGTTGGATTGTCTATGCATCTCTGTGTTCTACGTGAGTGCCCAGCACTTACCTCCTCACAGTTTTATGAACTGGGATCCCCTGGACTCCGTGAGCATAACAAAGACACTGGTGTCAGGGTGATCTGAGCACTAACAGCCCCAGGACAGGGAACCTAAAATGTGCCTTTTGAGGGAACTGCACCTCTGAATGTTTGTGCTTCTCCCTCAACCATTCACCCCACACTCTGTGGTGGGATGTCTCTAAGTAAACCTCCCCCCAAACTGCCCACTTCAATCATTTCTTTAAGTATATTTTCAATTTATTATCTTACTGAGTGTCTATGTTGCTTATCAAGTTTTCTTATAAACATTTTATTTGTTTAGAACTAAACTGGAAATTCAAACTATAGCATCTTTCAATTTTGGGGTAGTTCTTTGGATAATGTGCTCTTAATCTATAAACTAACAAATATTCACAATTATTTGCCGAGTTAATAAAATGATGTTTCAACTAAATAATAAAATGGATGAATCAACTAAAAAATTTTGGATTGTGCATGGCTGGATGGCTCGGTTCGTTGGAGCGTCGTCCTGTACACCAAAAAGACTGCGGGTTTGATCATCCATGAAGAGAATAATAACGCAGAGCAGAGAGAATGCAGTGACTTCTCTATCCTCTGTGACAAAGCATAACTTCTATACAGAAAGGTTCCCTCCCAACCTTACGCCATGACATCTGGAAACCATCATTAGATTGCCAACGTAGAAGCACTATTTTCAAAGCCACTCTTCATCCCTGAGGCCGCTGATGTTCTAGGCCAGGCCTGTCATCACGTTTCCAGCCTGAGGATTTCTTGGCTTATTTTTTACCTGTGGCCCATTTGTTCCCACTGATTTCCATTTCCACTGACTTATAGGAAATCAATCCTAGGATTTCTGTGGTCTTTTATTGTTTATATTTTAGGTTGATGCACACAGATCTATACTTATATGCCCATTTCATCAGCTGGAAGAAATCTTCCAACCTCAGACATCAAACATGACGTGTCTAAGAGACGTACATACAGGTTGTAACAAGAAACAGTCAGAGGACCAGGCAGTGAAATAACTATGAATGTGTCTCATCCTTACCTTGAGGGGCATCTTTGCATGCTCATTTAACAGCGGGACATCAAACACGAATCTCCTGAGTAAGTGCTGCATCATAGAAGGTCTCAGTTGGCTGGTGGAACAAAGCTGATTTTAATAATGGGGTAAACGGTCTAAACTAAGTAGGTAATTCATTAGACTAAATTAAATATGCCTCTCTTCAGAGGATATTAGTTTTAGGTGTTCCCAACGCAAAGGTTAACCAATGGCTGCCCAGTGAGTAAGAGCTTCCATTTGCATCTTGTCTCCACTCCGACCTGAAGACTGATCCCTCCTTCCCACAGGACACGCTTTTTCTTTGCTCCCTCCCTTCCTAACACGACTTAGTAACGTGTCTTCCCTCACTCCCACGAGTGGAAGGGTCTCCAGTGACCAGATTGGAAGCAGAAAGATGAGCAAGAGAGGAGCAGGAGGGACAAAGGGCTGAGACTGAAGTTCTGCCAGAGGATGACGGGAAAGGTAGACGTGGCGGACATCAGCCCTCTACCATGTCAGGCAACCTTGAAGCTCCTACCCACTTAATATGTAGACAAATCTGAGAGTTCCATATTTTGATTCCATTTTATAGAATTTTAGCCTCAGGGAAGTGATAGAACTGATCTAATTTTTCACCTCCCCTAGTCCCACCTGGCTTCCAAACCCCTACACCCCACTGTGAGTGGAAACCTTCCCTTCACAGTGTACTACCAGCTGCAAGCCTGCACCTCCAGGAGCTCCTGTCCAATGAGAAAGAGCCTCCATCCTCGTTAGGGGCCTGAGAAGTTGTCCCTTTCACCGTCAGAACTCCAGAGGGAGGAGACGGTTCTGACTTTCATAGGAAAGGCATTTGAACACCTCTACCTACAGGAAGTGGTTTTCCAGCTGGAGGAAGAGCCAGCCTTCCTCACTGCCACCCATAAGTAATGCTTTAATATTACTAGTATACCGGATCATTTTCCATATTTAGTAAGGACCTCTTTCTCTTCTATTCTGGAAGAATCAAAAGGGGAGAATCTATTAGTCTTACACTAAAGTGGCCAGGGACTCCTTACACCACCACCTCGCCCACGAACATCCGGAACAGCACAACTCGTCCAACATCACATCCAATGGCTAGATACCCTGAGAGGTTTGGGGGAACACTGCTAAACTTAGCTCATACCTTAGTACAAGGACTACCTACTAGGAATTAATCTTTTGATACAGAAATTGTTTCCAAAATTCATAACAACTTGTAGAGGGCCACAGAGTAATAAATTCTCTTTCTGAAGGAAGGAGAGACTTGGTAAAGTTATTTCCCACTCACCCACAGATAGAGAGCAAACAAACTTCTATGGAATCCCTCTGAGCTTTGGTCAGTGAGCAGCCCTTAGAAAGTCTGTACACGGTATGAAGCAACGAGTCGATGAGGGAAGCGTGGTGCTCTGTGCCAGCAAAAAGAGGAGCACATCTTGTTAACAAAGGCAACACGGCCGTGCAGAGGTACCGATTGAGGGCCAAGGCCATGTCCGTAGCACTCAAAGCAGCCTGAAAAGGAATTGGAGAGGAGAAACTCATTTGTGTTTCGGGAATCAACAGGTTGACATGTAGTTTCATCACCTAAAAAGTGACAAAAAAGTAAAAATGTATACCTTTAAATGTGATTCATATGATTTTTACCACTAAAAACATCAACTTCAATTGCTTATCAATAGATAAAAATAAATGAAGTGCTATCTCCTCAGAGAGCCCAAGAGCCAAGAGGCTCATATTCTATAACAAAACATCAATAGGAGGAGAAATGGAAGATAAAGACAATAATGTATCAAAGAATGTGCGTACTTTACTAGGAGAAGAAAGAGAAAAGAGCTTATTGTCAAAACATATTTCATCTTCATACATTCTCTCTGAATTCTACTTACTAATAGTTTCTATTTCTGCTCATGTCCACCAGCATCATTACTATGCTATCTCAGAATTTCATGTAAACACGCCCAAAGAAAAAAATTTAAGTTTAATTTTTATGATTCTCCTCTCATGGCATTAATGAA